CCCCCAGTGCCGGCATATGGGAAACACTCAGGAAATACTTGTGGACGAACAGCCGGGTGTTTCTGTGGAGTCATCCACTGTGTCAAACTGTGTCCTTGTCGGAATTCCTTACTGATTTTGCTTAGTGTGATGACAGAGCGCACACGTAGAAACACCCCGTTGAGAAACCAGTATGAAGTTCCGGAAAGATACACCGAGGCCAGGCCAGAGGAAGAACAGGGAAAGTTTATTCTGCGGATTCACAGACTCTAGGGAGTCCGGGAACCCGGGCTGCCTGGGAGGAGAGGAGAGAAGGGAAAGGGGAGAGATGGAGCCCTGGATTCCCGGCCCCCATCGGGGGGACCCGAGAAGTCGTGCCTATCTGTAGTGGAGAGCGAGTTGGAAGCTGATCAGGAGGGAAGGAGGTTAAAGTAATAAAGGGAGTGGGTAGAAACCACAGGTGGGCAAATAGGGAGGGAGGGGGTTGGGGGGGGCCCTCTAATGGGTCTCTGTCCATAAAAATTCCAAGACAGGGTGGTGCTTTGATTGACTCCTTGATCGTGCCCTGGAATTTTCTGCCTCGGTCCGATAGAGGCAGGCAGGCTTTTCCTAATGTCCTCCGACCGGTACCTGAGCCGACATTACAACAAAGACGACTAAATAAAAAACGTGTGGCTTCCTAAGTGCTAAATCAAGGATGAGGTGAAAAATAGGTGTGTTTGACCTCTTCCTTTCCAAACCCGAGCAGGGTTACAAACTACCTAAACTTCAATCCGAAAGGAATAAAGACAAAGCAACTTCAAATGGCTTTTGGAGATACTTTTTAATTACTGTAAGCATGGGCTTGTAGCTTGGTCCACCCTAGAGTGCACCTTTTCACGATGTTAATGGTCGGGTTAGGGCTGCAGGGCCACTGTCATGTTGCTGGTGTTGGTACAACTTCATCAGAAGGTATGGAGAGATGACCCGCAGGAAAAGACAGTCCCCGAAGAAGAAGAACACGACGAGAGAACATCCACTGTTTTACAAACCACTCTTGTTACCACAGACACAACATGGCAGCTACTGTTAGGGAACCAGCCAGGGAACACTTGAGAAACAAGGATCTTTCCACAAGGAAATGGGAACTCCTTTTGGGAATAAGGGGCTTTATCCACAACTTTTAAGTAGAAAATATTTCAAGGTCAAGCATTTTTTTCTTATGCACAAAACAACGCTAAACCAACATACATCTTTAGGAGTCTATTAAGGGAATACAGTGTCTTCACACCTATCTTGTTGAGTAAGGACTTCAGTTAACTTTCGGCAGAGTTTAAGTTGCCCAAAATTCAGCAGCAAAATATTGCAACATAACAAGTAAATACAGTGTCAAGGTGTTATATTGTAGAAGAGAATATATAAAGGATGAACAATGATAATTTAATAATAGAAAACATGATATGTAGCTAAAATACAGTCCACTTAAATAGCTTTGTGACCAAGAATGTTAAATACTGTACTAAATGCCATTTAAAACATAAAATATCTTAAACATTTTTGTGCTTAAACTTTTTTTTTTCTGTTAAACTATTTCTTACTTTCAATACTGCCACTGTAACTGCTATTACAACAGGTCACAATGTTCACGGACACATGAAGACATTTGCTTCAGAGAAAATAAGTCATTTGTCATGAGTTCACAGTGTGGGAACGTGGGCTTCACTCTGTCCCCAGAAGGGCTTTCTGTTCGTCACCAAGTCCTCCGCGGAGACTTCCTGATACCAGATGCAGCGCCAGATTAAACAAAAGAAGGAAAGTGACACCTCACATGTTGAAAGGGCAAATCGACCTTTTGCTTCTTCATGGGTGTCGTCTGAGTGACCTTCGTCTTCGGTCGTAGAAGTGCCTGAGCCCATGTTGCCGTGAAAAATTCATCATGTAATTTTGTTTGCGAGTGCTGTTCGAAGCAGAGGGCGGAAGCAGGAGGGAAAGGAGAGAGGAAAGCGTGTAAGTCCCGGCATCGAGAGCAAAACCTACTGCACGTCCTACGTGACTCTGGTGGTATTTGAGAAACGGTAGGGTTAATAGACCATGCAGACACTACCAGTCAGGGACAAAGTACCTTAAGTCTGACACCACTATGCATTGCCTTTGCCTTTATAACAAAACAGAACAAAAAACCCGTTCTTTTCATGAGTGAGCTCCAGACCAGGTAAGATGGCACGTTCTCTTGATTTACAACAAAAAATGGGCTCAGACTATTTTTGGACATCTAATTTAATTTTCTTCCTGGACTCTTTATGGAACCCTGCACTTGAGTGGATCTCTTCTTAGAAGGGGCGTGTTCAGTCTCCTATGTGCTTGTTTAAATACGTCTTCACAAGCAGGAAAGCAACCTGCTCGTTAGCAAACATCCTGTTGACATGTCTAGAGTCAAATCATGTTAGTTAAGTCAACCCGACCGTCCAAATTTGATACGCTCTTAGGGGACCGAAACGAGAACTTTCCCCCCACAATATTGGATCCCATTGTCTTTCTCAGATAATAAGCGGCTTTATACAATCAGTGATGCTTTCTTAGTCTCTTATGAACTCTCAGAGGTGTCTCTCTCATCAGGCCAAGTTCACAGACGATTCCCACAGCTGCTTATCGTGGAAGACGGTGGGAGATAACGGAGGAAGGCACACACCTACACGGGAGCCTCAAAAAGGGGGTGGAAAAATGGAATGAAAAAGAATGGAATGTTCCACAAATTCTCTGAATCCCCCTCCTTCTATAGAGTGTGTGACACCAGGTTAGTGTGGGGCTGCTAACTGCAACGTCACCAGTTTGAAACCACCAGCAACTCCTGGGGAGGAAGATGAGGCTTTCTGCTCCCGTCAGGATCTATCGTCTTGGATGGCCTGGGCTCACTCTACTCTGCCCTAGAGGGATGCAATGAGTTGGAGTTGGCTCTGTGGCTGTGAGGCATCGAGGACAGGACACGGCACTGGTAGTAGCTTCGAAAGCCCCTACACGGCAAATGTGCTTTTAAAAGGATCTGTACTCACTAGTGTCACTGACAAGAAAAACAGCCCTCTCTCACCGAGGCCTAAGGGATACCCTATCTATTTGTGGCATCGGTATATGGGTTATGAGTCCGTGCTTACAAATAGGCTCCATTTCACTTGAAAACTGGGGTGCTCTCAAAGCCCTCTCCTACTCAACCTCATGGAGTAAGGAAATGCCTCTGGAGAAAGAGAATGCCATGTGATGATCAAGGTCAGTATGGTGCGAGCTGGAGTTAGGATCAGGGGAGGGGACGGGCAGTGTGGCACTGAGCAGTGGACTCTCCCGGGCCGACAGTGCGCATTTACCACACCAGGTGCGAAATGAGGTTTTTAAAGCGAGGTTGTCATACTCGTTTTCACGTAGAAATTGAGAAGCTTTAAACTAAGAAGACTGTAATTGACTCATTAGAAAATAAAATTAGAACAAAATACCATAAACTAAACATGTAATCAACAAGCAGTAGCCTCTTCTGAAAACCTGATAAGAGGATAAACATCAAATAGGCATATATTTCGTAGATGAAAATAAAATGCTAATTTCTTTTCATCCTGGGTTTTTATATTGTTAAAATGCTAGAAACCACAGACTAGAATCTGAAGCCCTTGTTCAGAAATAGACCTTCCCCACAAATTCAATTTTTATCTTTAGAGAGCTCTCCTACTTCCTCCGCCCTCCGTCCATGTGGCAATATTACATGTATAATTTATTCCCATCCATTTCCATATAATAGTTGAAGGGTGAAACTATTTTTTACCATTTATTAGTTGCTATACGTACTAATTGCTAGCTATTTAAAATCAAGATGTTGGTTTTTTTTAAAAGAGGACATCATGCATTAAATTAATCAGGTTCCAGGAAACGGGACCCCCTTACTTCCTTCTTCCCACAATCTTGGAAAGGAGTGCCACGCGGTGCACAGTGGTTAAGGCCATCACCACACAGAACCCACTGCATCGAGTCAAGTCCGACTCACAGAACCCCGCAGGGCAGGCGCGAACTGTCCCTGTAGATTTCCAAGCCTGTCACTCTTTATGGGAGTAGAAAGCCTCATTTTTCTCCCTTGGAGCAAGCGGCGGGTGGTTTTGAATTGCTGACCTTGGGGTTAGTAGTCAGCTTGTAAGCACAATGCCACCAGGGCTCCTTGGAGCCCTACCAGTGCCCCTGAAATTACCCTTCTCACCTCAATTCTTTCCTCTTAGGCAAGCGGACCCATTCAAGAGACTACGAAACACTAACCAAGCGTAATTACAGGTTATCATTGTGTGTATGCATGTGTGTATAGTTATCCATACACACAAACTTCAGCTAATTTCCCCTAAAATGCTGGCTTTTCCTTGTTCAAAACCCATGCATCATTCTCTTGTCTGTCAGGCAACTTAGATAGATGTCACAAGTCCTCGCCATTGTTTAATCTTTCTGTTTTTCAGTCTGTTTTCTTTTTTCTTTCACTACAGTCCTCTGCAGACTACTCTGTTTACAAGTGACAAGTCTTTTCTGCGTGTCTCACCGACCAGCTTCATTGGCTTACCCTCACAGTCACTTCCTGAATTTAAATTAAACACATTTTTCATCCTGCTTTGGACTCCTGTAGCGCTCATTTTCTGCTTGGCCTGTTTGTGTCCCGTGTTGCAGGGGCAGGTTCCCCAGCCCTCCACCCAGGACAAGCGCACCAAGCCCCGAGCTGTGAGCGGTCAGGCCGGGCCATGTTTCTTGGACTTCTGGGGACTTACTGACTGGACTCCTGTTGTAAGTCAATACACTTTAACTCTAGGGAATAATTACAAAGTTAAAGCCATACAAAGGATCCTGCTGAAAACATGGTAAAGATTATAAATCATGCAGATGTTAAAGTATGTGAACATTGTACATCGAATAAAAATAGAAACTCAGAACATGCAAGACATTTAGTTACAGCAATGCAACTGAGATGGACGTGGGTGCTGCCTCAATACATGGAAAGGAAGGGAGGTTCATTTTATCAGATGTTGACATGCATGGTTCATGTGTTTCAACAAAGTCTCTCCATGGAATTGTTTACTATGGGGCTGATTTAAAGCCTCCACTTTATAGATGAGAAAATAAATATTAGCAGGTAACAGTCCTTTCACAGCCTGACAATTAGGCCAGCGGTGGGAGCTTTCCTCCAATTTAGAGGCCGTGTGGATTCGCAGGTACTCTTTTATTTTGAGACATATGAGAAGGCTTCAAAAGTTTGTGGGGAAATTCCAATACTTTTTATTCCACTCTCCCATGAAATTTTTGAAGCCTATCTCTGGATTGCTAAGAATGTTGAGTTGCTACCCATGCTTTGTGTTCATGTAGTCACATCAAACCCTCACAGTTTCAAAGCATCCTTGAAACAAATAGGCAATTTGCATGTGAAACACCTTTGAAGCCAGACAGGTCAGAATCTAATGAAGTGTGCCAAAATACCGTCTGCAACTAGGACCATTTAATAAGAGGACACAGCTTTAGGTTATTGTGACTTCTGAAGTGGCCAACTTTCCCCGTCAGCCGTCAGGGTACTTGAACAACTTTAACGATGTTGTGTTTACATTTGTGTGTGTGTGTCGAGCAGTTCTGTGAGCCTAGTTTTATTCTTGATGTTTGTGTAACCATAGTTATAGTGTGCAGCTGGTGTAATAATAGATTTAATGGAATGTTAAAGATTTATTTCTTCACTGCAGTTAGAGGGGAAAGCAATTTTATTTAAGTTCAATGAAAATAGGTAACATTTATTTCGAGGAACATAGCTATGTCATGGGACATCAATTTGTGCTGACCACGGGCAGAATGGGATTCATTTAAAAATTCTCTCATTAGGAGTAAGTCATTGAAAGAAGAGCGATTGGCCATCAAGGGCTTCTTGGATATATGTTTTAAAATTTCCATGAACTCCGAGGGAGCTTAAGGACTTCAATACTGTATGGACTTAAGCAATACTTCCCTGTTTCTGCACAGGGCATATAGATAGTGCAAGATTCTCAAAGAATGAGTAACTGTGCTTTTGAACTGTTACTATTGACTGGAGACTGGATCATAGCTCGCTTATTTACTGATAGAGAGCAAGCAAATAACAATTAGTTAAACACTGTAAGAGGATGAAGCATGAGTTAAACAAATGTTTAACTTATTTGTTTTCGTGAAAAATGTCACTGAGCTTGATGGAAATCTAAAGGACATAAAGAGGATGGAAAATTGCTATAAGTAAATTTTAGCACATAGAAATTTAGGCATTTGTAGTGATCAATAACTGATTTAACGCCAAAATGTATGGTAAACAAATAACAATGTGTATGACTGCAGAAATAAGGATGCATCAGAACTATTAGAAATATTGATGAGCGTAAAATAGGAAACTGCCATTCAAAACTGAGCAATAAACACCCCTCACACAAAGGATGCTACATATTTTACTTTCTAGTTCATGAAGTTTCAGGAAGCCTACAAATAAGTAAGTGTAAGGCACACATATCTCACAAATACTCCATATTTCTTATTTCTTTCTCTGCTAGACAGGGGTGCTATAACAGTATCGTGCTTACCCAGAAGTTTTCAGTGTAAACTTCTAGTGCAGTATGTAGGTATTTAATGAATACCTTCTTTCTTAAGTTTAACTGTATTTACTGTATTTCAATTAGAAGACAGACGTAAGTGTCCATTACGGGTGGCAGGTTGTACTTAGAGGGATGTATACCTCCCAAGTTTTTGAATGACTCCACTTCCCTCTGCCAAGTCTTTTGTTAATGTAAGTTCATTTATTAACTTAAATGGATAAAGTCAAGGTGGCCTCACATATCTCCAGCGGGGCTTATCTTGGGAAAGATATTACATTTAACCAGAGCCCCGCCCTCTTTGCATACATTTCTACTTTTATTTTTCCCTCATAACAAACTCATATACTGTGAACGAATGAAGGGCACCCAGTATATTGCTCAGGATAGAGGAGTAGTTAAGTCCAATTTGTTGCCCAGTGAAGGGATACCGGTTGGCACCCTGGACCATGCTGCTGTGCCTAACATTGGATGAATCACATACAGTAATTATCTCAGTTTGGACCTCAGAGTTTCTGTGGGTATAGTTTTCAAATTCGTTTTTCACTTCTTTTTCCCATAGAAAGTTTTCTTTTCAGTTGCAAAGGTCTTCTGTAAGACTTCTCAGTTAACTGAGGTGAAGCTGATGAAACGATTAGTGAACAGTTGCCCGGATTTAGCAAGAGGACTTACCTTACTCTAGTGGGAAACCATTGACAGCAAGTAATGAAATATAACACAAGTTAAAAAATGCCTTTCAATGCATGCAGCGCTCTGATTAGTCATAAAAGTCTGATCAGGTTTAGACGCAATATAGGGCTTTTCATCTCTTTTGAAAATAAAAATTAAAGAAGTTATTTCTTATTCTTCTATAATTCAGTATATACATATATTTTACTTTTCTATGTAATGCAACATGCAATATTTGCTCATAACCATATGTTAAGGTACATGTAGCTATAGTACTACATTTGGCATAAATGTTATATATTAAATACAATTGTTAAAATAGTAGTGTATTATAAATCACTATTATGAATTTTAACATCTGATTTATCAATTTACATTTTAGGAAATACTTATTCCCAAATATATTAAGGAACAGACTTTTAAAAGTACAAAAATAAAGCAGTCAAAATTTTGTTAAGGATAAATATGCTTTGCAACAAATGTAATATATTGGTCTCATAAATCATTTGTGCCAAAAATGTTTCTTGATAATGAATAGCATGAGGGGATGGTCACGATGAAACTCATAGTATTAAAATGTGATAAATGAGTTTAAAGACCATAGCTAGCAATATGTTGGTTTTGGGGTCTCAGAACATGTGGTACTAATTCACTTTCCCAATAAATCAATTTACAAAGGCTAACTCTTCACTGAGCAATTTGTTTTCAAGGTACACATGCAAAAATTGGCCCACTTCATTATACACATGACAGGTGTGACTTAGACACACGGGAAATGTGATGTGTGAATGAAATGCATAGTTGGGTGAGGTAGATTCTTAGGATAGAAGTATGAGTAGCCAACAAAACCGGGTTAAAACAAAGAATTCTCTTTCATCCTAAGAAGAACCCCACCAGCATGGATCTTGTGAGGGATCTGCCCAGAGTATTCATAAACACGTGCTAAGAAACAAATATTCTATACTAGCAAATGGATCCAGAGACACTGGATTTCTGACTCTCGATTTTCAATGATTACAATGATGGCTACATCATTCAGGCCCTACAGAATGAGGACTTTTCATAAGCTAGTGAGGCTGGGAAAAATGATCTGTCAATTCGGTTAATTTGGTATATGATGGATTAGTAGGAACTAATCATGAAGTGCATTTCATGTGCAGGTTTTATTGAAACATATCATCAGGCTGGAAAGAGTATATTCATAAGTGACTTTGCTGGTTAAATTCTAAAAGGGTGGTTTTTACCTTCAAGGTGTGGGACTTGTCATGCTGTATTATCCATATTTATGAACCTCAAATCCTTCCATGTGTAATATTTTAGGATTAAATCACTCATTTAAAAAAAATTATTTTACTCACTGAGAGGGCTTTGGTGTTTGGCTGCTAACAAAAAGGGCGGCAGTGCACGCCCCTTGGCTGCTCTGCAGGGAAAGCGTGGCAATCTGTTTCCATAGAGACTTACAAGGGGAGGAACCCTGCAGGGAAGCTGGACTCTGTCCTACAGGTCGAAGAGACTTGGAGTCAACTCAACAGCAGTGGTTTGTTGTTTTTTTTAATCTAGTTCATTGAGGATGTAATTTTAAATTGAAATATTTTCAAAGTACTAAATTTTCTCTCCTCAAACCTACATATCTTCTTGGTTAATATGGGCAGAAGGGAGATGAAATTCAATGTAAGATACCATGCGTGACCACTATTTTTCTTTCTTGGCGTTTTTAGCATGTGTCCTTGGTGCACATGCTTGAAAGCAAAGCTCTGGTAATAAAACTAGATTAAGGTCACTCTTCACTTAAAGAATAAAATATATTTCTAAAATTTCTTAAATGAACTGCTTGCACCAACCATGAATTGCAAAAACATATGAGCAGTCTATTTTGCATCTTCTAAGACAGGCACCTCAGTCTGCTCCTTTGCCCTACCACACTCAAGGCATTAATAGCACTAGTTTCATGACCAAATGTTCTCATGTAAAAGTACAGGTAAGCAACAGATTTCATAAATATCCATCTATTGTAGCAAGTTAAAATGAATAATATTTGCAAGTCATACATGGAGATTGGCTAGCTTCACTGTGCCTCACTTGTATGAAAGGTCCTCTGTGAGATTATAATATTTTATTGTTATCAAATCTCTGACACTTTTCATTTATTTTATTCAAATCAAATGAAAGAATTAAAATAATTAATCTATAGGGCTGCCCAGTGCATGTCCATTAATGAATGTTGTAAAGATTTCTGTAACTTTTATGAAAAGAAGCAATTTACATAGAAATAGTAAATCTAGAGGCAACAGTGAAGCAACGGAACCATAGTGATCAAAAATATAATTTCTTAGTATTGTATTTTTCAAACAGCTCATTTATTGAACTCAGCTTCTTGAGGTATTTATTCTCCCCCAAAGTAAGAAAATAAAAACTCCCTTAATTTTAACAAATTTTTGACATCTCATTGAAGAGATAGCACTCGCTTTTAAAATTATATATGTATTATGGGTGCATGAAATATGGTGATATATATGTGTATATTTATACATATACACACATACACATATATATATTTCTGCACCCATCTGTCAGTTTATCCTGTTATGGTGGTGTATATGCTGCTGGAAATTATACCTCCAGTGTTTCAAATACTGGCATGGTCACCCGTGCTGGGTGGGTTTCAGCAGAGCTATCAGAGAAAGACAGACCAGAAAAGAGGACCTAGCACTCTGCTTAGAAAACTGAGTTAGTGAAATCCTTCTGAATTGTAGTGGAACGTGGTCTGATACAGTGCGGAAGATGAACCCCAAAGGTGGGAAGGCCCTCAACATCCATCTGGGAAAAGCTGCCTCCTCAAAGTAGAGTAGATTCTACTTAGTGACCGAGAGGGCGCCAAGCTTTCAAGACCTTCACGTCCCAAAGTGGCACAATCCTGAAGGAGCAGAAGTAAACAGCTAATGCTCCTTAAGAATGGGAACATGGAATGCATGAAGTATGAACCTAGGAAAACTGGCAGATACAAACATGCAATGGAACGCTTGAAGAGAGATAGCCTAGGCATTAATGAGCTGAAATGAACTTGTTTTGACCATTATGAATTGAACAAGTATATGGCCTGTGATGCTAGGAATGAATGACGAGTTGACGAGGAATGCCCTCAGACTCACTGGCAAAAAGAACACTTCAGAACCAACCCTGGAGTACAACGCTCTCAGCGACAGAATAGACATACACACCTACAAGGAAGACCAATTAATACAACTATGATCCAAATTTATGCACCAATCACAATGCCACAGACGAAGAAGCTGAAGATGTTACTCACTCCTGCAGCTGAAAGTGATCAAACTTTCAATCCAGATGCATTGATAATTACCGTTGACTGACACATGTGGGATGGAAACAAAGGAAGCTCAATCGTTTGAAAACATGGCCTTGGTGATGTAAATGATGCTGGAAAGTGCACGATCGAATTTTGCAAGACCAAGGACCTATTCAATACAGATAACCTTCTTAAACAGCATAGATGGTGACCATTCACACAGACCTCACCAGATGGGACGCACGGTAGTCACACTGACTACATCTGTGGGAGGAGATGATGGGGAAAATAATGTCATTGTACAAAATAAGTCCAGGGCCGACTTCAGGAAAAGCTATCGACTGATCCTTTTCAAGTTCAAGTTGAAGCTGAAAAAAAATGAAAATGAGTCCACGAGGACCAAAGAATGGCCTCAAGCACATCCTACCTGAGTTTAGAGATTATCTCAAGAAGAGATCTGGCGTACTAACCCTAATGACTGAAGGCCAGTTGAGTTTTGGGGTGACATCAAGGACATCACACACAAAGAAAACAAAAGATCATTAGAAAAGAAAGGCAGACCCAAATGGATGTCAGCAGAGACTCTGAAACGTGCTCTTGAACAGACAGTAGCTGAAGCAAGTGGAAGAAATGATGAAGTAAGAAAGCTGAACAGAGATTTCGAAGGGCTGTTCCGGAAGACAAGGGTAAGTACTAAAGTGAATTGTGCATAGACGTGGCGTCAGGGACAGCCATGTGGAGAACGTGCGTGGCATTTCTCAAGCTGGGGGAGCTGCAGAAATAGCGAAGCCCCGGGTTGCACTGTTGAAGAGCTTTATTGTATGAGCAAAATCTTGAGCAATGCAGGAAGCTTTTACAAAAATGGAAGGAGTACACAGAGGTACTGTACCCAAGACTTTGTCCCTGTTCAGCCATTTCAGGAGAGAGCATAATTAAAAAAAACGATGGTATTGAAAGAAGTCCAAGCTAAACGAGGCACTGGTCAAAAACAAGCCTCCGGGAATTGACAAAATACCAACTGAGATGTTTCAACGACTAGATGTGACACCCGCAAGTGCTCACATTGAGACATTTGCAAGACAGCTATCTGGCCAACAAACTGGGAGAGATTCAGATTCATGCCCATTTCAAAGGACGGTGTTTCCAAAAATGCACAAATTATCCAATAATATCATTACTAGCAAAGTCAACTAAAATTTTGCTGAAGAGAATTTAAATAGTTGCAGCAGTTCATCAACCTTAATAAATTCAAGCTGTAACAGCACATGGAACGAAGGCTATCATTGCTGATGTCAGATGGACCTTGTCTGAAAGCGCATAACAGCAAGAGATCGACCAGTGCTTTATTGCCTATTTGACCATGCGGACCATATCAGAGCATGGAAACCTTTGCGAAGGACAGGACTGCCAGAACATTTCATTGTGCTTATCCCGAACCCGTATGGACACCAAGAGGTAGTTGTCAGAACAGAACATGAGACACCGCATGGCTGAAAATCAGGAAAGGTGTGTGTCAGAATTGTATCCTTTTACTACATTTATCCAGTATATCATTGAAGCAAATGATTCGAGAAGGTGGACCCTAAGAAGAATGTGCCATTAGGACTGGTGGAAGACTTAACAACTCGCCACATGCAAAGGGCACAATCTTGCTTGCTAAGTCTAAAAAGGACTTGAAGGACTTACCGATGAAGATCAAAGATCACACAGCCTTAACACAAGGAAAACCAAGATACTCAGAACTGGACCAATAAGTCGTATCATGGTAAACACAGAAAAAACCGAAGTTGCCAAGGATTTCATTTTACGCGGATCCATAATTAACACCCATTGAAGCATCAGCTAAGAAATTCAGTGATATGCACACACTGAGTACATCTGCTGCAAAAGACCCCTTTGTCGTATTAAGGGCAAAGACTCACTTTGAAGACTAAGGTACACTTGGCCCAAGCCATGGCATTTTTAATCACTTCATATGCATGAGAAGGCTGGAATTAGAACCCCGGAGAAGAACTCATGGCTTGATTTAGGGTATTGGCAAATAATTCTGAAAGTACTATGGACTACCAGAAAAACGAACAAATCTATCTTCGAAGAAACATAGCCAGAATGCTCCTTAGAAGCCAGGATGGTGAGAGTTCATCTCGCGCACTTTGGACAGATTATCAGGAGAGACCAGGCTCTGGAGAAGGACATCAAAAAAGTAGAAGGCCCCCATGGGATGGATTGACGCCATGGCTGCAACAAAGGACTCAAACAGAGCAAGACTTAGGAAACCGGCACAGGATTAAGCAGTTTCATTCTGTAGTGCACATGGTTGCCGTGAGCTCGAACCAACCTGATGGCATTGAATAACATCAACCACGCAGAAAAGTACAAATCTTACATTAGTCACAGAAAGAAGAAGTGGGCTACAACTCAAATGATGTAACAACGCATACGCGGCTATGTTAACTTCAGTCAGACGGTTTTAATGCCTTTGAGAATTTGATACAATCGTGCAGGGTAAAGGAGCCCTGTTGGCATAGTGGTTATGAGCTAAGCTGTGCTCCTCAAGGTTAGAAGTTCCAAACCACCTGCTGCTCCTTGGAAGAAGGACAGGGCTTTGTACTCCCATAAAGAGTTACAGGCTCAGAAACCCACAGGGCCAGTTCTATCCCGGTCCTGGAAGATCGTTATGAGTCAGCATTGACTCATAGCAGTGAGTGAGTGCAGGGTGAGGACAGACAGAGCCCTGTGAAGTCATACATTCTTCACATTATTAAAAATTATGGCAATGGAAGAAAAATAACATCTTTACAAGTACAGACTATAGGTCTGAAAATACCAGAGCACGGGTTCATAGTATTTCCTACCATCTGGACCTGGTCCTGAAATCACGTCACGCTGCTGGTGGATACCTGCAGTTGCTTGGCTGGGTGGGAGGAGAAGCATGTGCTCAAATAATGATGTGTCTACAATGTGTTATGTCTACTCAAGGGAACAATGAGCATTCTGCTGGCTTCTGAGAATTGTCAAGTTTTCACATATCCTAAGAATTGGTTGTGTTTTGCCGGGCACAGGAAGTCCCCATGGATATAAATTTTCTTGTTAAGTAAATGGAAAGATGACTGACTCTCAGTCAGCGTTCCCCCCTACGTATCAGCATCACCCGTGGTGCTTTTGAAACCATCTGATGCTCGCCAGGTCCATTTTAACCATGGTCTCTTGGGAGGGGCCTTGGCGTGGGGGAGGGCGTGCATTGATGTTGACATAGCTCGCCCGTGATGCTGATGTTCAAGAAGCTTGGGAAGTGCTGGTCTAAACGGAAAGTCGCCAGGGCACAACACCTAGAAAGTTAGTTTTCCGTCAATTTAAACATTTCTCTGTGGCCTTGCCATCCATTCGTTTCTTTCAGAGCCCAGAGGATTCCTTTGCCTTAGGATAATGTCTTCTGGGATGATCAATAACTAAGCAGTACATCAGCCTCATATTTAGGTTTCCTCTCTCACTTTGTCCTGTAGAGGCAGAGCCCAGCAAGGTGTCCGAAAGCAGCAGCGCGCACGGCGGGCCTCGTGTAGGGTCAGTTGCTCTTGGGTGGGGGTTGATATGGATGCCATGCAAGCAGGTGCCTCCGTGAAAACTAAGGCGAGGGCTAACTCAAGACGGAAAACGTCAGCTCAGGGCTATGGTTGAGAGAAAACAAATCTGGTAGTTTTCCTACCAATAAATCATTTAAATTTGCTTTCAGAATGACAGAAATCAGCAAAAGGGCAGAGTTCCTTTTTGCTTTGGTAAACAGAATGAACAGTTGAACCTATCTACCGAGAAGATCCGCCTCTCCTGGCCAACCAGTTGGAGCCATCGGTCCGAACCCGCCGAGACATAGGCATTCCAGTTTTACAGGAACTAGATTGTTAGAGAAAAAGCAAGTCATCTCTCCGAGTGGGAACAGCCTGATTATACGGGGAGGGGATCACAGGGGAAACACTTGACAGGTGCCGGGGTTGGTCAGAAAGACGCCGAGACCACCCATTCTTTGTTCTAGTTGCAACCGTGACACCAAATGGAAGAATGTCCCAGGCCTCTGTGGCTGAGATAGGTGTTTGCAACTGGCAACTTTGGACAGTGACACTCTGTATCTGGACCAGGACATACCCCTTCTCTGAGAGGGTGCAATTCTAGTGTCTAAGGCAACGCAGATCTAGCAGAGGACACTGTCTCCCCTGTACCCGAAGACTTCTGTTTTATCCAATTTACCCGATATTGTCAAATCCTTAACGCTTTGCGTATCGACGTTCTCTAAGACACCCTGAATGCTGTTTCAGGACTAGTACTGTGGACTTGAGCTACAGCTTGCAGTTGCCGAAGAGCATCAGCCAAAGTGGTCCTGTGGGGACTTTGCATCAGGAGCCATTCTTACTGAGTTAAGGAGCAGGCTGTGTTCAAGGAATTTCAAACCTTTCTGTAATGAGCATGGGAGGCGATGTGTCAGATACTCACAGGACGACCTCCACATGGTCCAAAGCCCACTGATCATGACCTGTGCCATTGTGGCGTGGCTGCCACCAGCGCAGCAAGACTCCTTTCATCCGGGCCTCCCTGGGGCACAGACAGAAGACAAAAGGTTGAAATTAGAATACAGAGTACTTTCTCATATGCGGTTTCTAGACTTATACGAGGCTAACTACTCTGCTGCAATAGTGTCACTATGAGTCCGAGCTGACTGAACAGCAAGGAACCACTTAAATGAACATAATTAAATTAACAAAACATTGGGCGTGGAGTTGAGATTTGTTCAGGTTCTAGGTAATCGCCTTAGCTTTCATGGGCCACTCCCGGGCCTTCTGACGGCGCACCCCCTCGTCCTTCTTCCTCCAGCTCTGTTAGGGCCTGGGAAGGCAATATAGTCAGTCAACAACTGTGAGGTCCCTCTGTGTGCCACTGAGTTGGGGGCATAATGCTAAACAAAAGGGCCATAGGTACTTGTCCTCAGCAAATTTTCGACCAGGTGGGGTTGTTGCTGGGTTCCAGAGAGTCTCTTTTTTACAAAAAAAAATTTTATTGGGGGTTCGTTCAACTCTTATCACAATCCATCCATCCATCCATTGTACGTCAAGCACATTTGTACATTTGTTGCCTTCATTATTCTCAAAACATTTGCTTTCTACTTGAGCCCTTGGTATCAGCTCATTTTTCCCCCCTCCCCACTCCTCCCCCCTCATGAACTCTTGATAATTTATAAATTATTATTTTGTCATATCTTGCACTGTCCGACGTCTCCCTTCACCTACTTTTCTGTTGTCCATTCCCCAGGGAGGAGGTTATATGTAGATCTTTGTAATCTGTTCCCTCTTTCTACCCCACCTTCCCTCCACCCTCCCAGTATCGCCACTCTCCCCCGTGCTCCTGAAGGGTTCATCTGTCCTGGATTCCCTGCGTTTCTAGTTCTTATCTGTACCAGTGTACATCCTCTGGTCTAGCCAGATTTGTAAGCTAGAATTGGGATCATGATAGTGGGGAGGAAGAAGCATTTAAGGACTAGTGAAAATTTGTATGTTTCATCATTGCTACACTGCATCCTGACTGGCTCGTCTCTTCCCTGGAACCCTTCTGAAAGGGGATGTCCAGTTGCCTACAGATGGGTCTTGGGTCCCCAATCTGCACTCCCTCTCCTTCACAATCATATGAATTTTTGTTCTTTGATGCCTGATACCTGATCCCTTCGACACCTCGTGGTCACACAGGCTGGTGTGCTTCTTCCATGTGGGCTTTGTTGCTTCCGAGCTAGATGGCTGCTTGTTTACCTTCAAGCCTTTAAGACCCCAGATGCCATATCTTTTGATAGCCAGGCACCATCAGCTTTCTTCACCACATTTGCTTATGCACCCATTTGTATTTAGTGATTGTGTTGGGAAGGTGAGCATCATGGAATGCCAATTTAATAGAACAAAGTGTTCTTGCATTGAGGCAGTACTTGAGTGGAGGCCCAATGTCCATCTGCTACCTTTATACTAACCCTATAAATATATGCACATAGATCTATTTCCCCATCATCATATATAAATATATTTACATATGTACATGCCTGTATTTAGACCTCTACAGATGCCCTTTGCCTCCGAGTTCTTTCCTGTATTTCTTTTTACTTTCCTCTTGTCCCACTATCTTGCTCAGCCTTCATTTGGGTTCACTAATTTCTCTCAGTTACATTGCCCTTGATCAATCCCTACCAGTGTCCCATGACTCCATGTGACAGAAGTGGCCACAGGGTTTTTTTAGGCTGTCATCTTTGCGAGCAGATCACCAGGCCTTCCACCCCAGAGATGCTAGGTGAGTCTGAACCACCAGGCTTCTGATCAGCAGCTGGGTGCTTACCCACTGCTCCATCAGGGCGCCTTCCAATGAGTGCACCCAGCTGCTAGTACGAAAGACTAGAGTATATGCTAAGAGAGGGAAATATGCAAGGAAGCACCCTGGAATTTAGTTGTTATCTCCATTTCCTCATTTTAATTTCTTGCCCCTTATCCTAAGACAAAATAGGAACAAAACTTTGGACAGATCCATCTTGCTTCTGTTACCTACTTTTGTGGCTTTGTCCCAGTCACTTTACCACTTTGGGCCCGGTGCTCACTGGGAGTCCCCTGGCGGTACAAATAGTGATGTGCTCTGCTGCTAACCTAGGGGTTGGTGGTTTGAGCCCACCCAGAGGCACTTTGGAAGGAAATGTCTGGTGATTCTCCTTCCCAACCTCAGCCCTGGAGAAGCTACTGGGTGCAGTTCTACTCTGTGACACATGGGGTCGCCATCCCTTGGGGCTGAGTCGGCCTCAGCGGCAGCTACTTTAGATTGGATTGTTTCAGTGGTTCTCTGCAGCCTTTATGCTTTTTTCTAGCTCAAACTGGTCATCAGGGCTCCTCTGGCCTTTCCAGTGAAGCTACTTACAGGGGGACGTTGTAGGACACTCTCTGGGCCTGGGTGAAGTCCTTGGGCTGGTGCTGCGCGATGACGTGCCAGCTGACCCCGTTGTTGACGCTGTACTGCAGCAGCACAGCCTTGTCCACAGCGTTGGGGCCACTCAGGTCGCTGTTACAGCTGTCTGTCTGGGAGGTGCTCCCGATTTGCAAAACAAACATGATTTTGCTGGAAAACACAGGGGAAATCATCTTTAATCAAGAGGTGTTGTTACAAGAGGGGCTACCCTTCAAATACTTTTTCCTCTTATTCCCAAAGACCCTTATTTTGAGTTCATAATATAGCAAAAGTAGGAGAATCCGGCTTTATGACAAAAATCACCAATGCAGTGGAATTTATTTCTACAATCTTTTAAATTATGTGTATGCCTAGGATTCAGAGGGGCTGTTTTTCTACTTAATGAAAACAGTTTTGACTTCCAATGATGTATATGTTTCTGTGCTGTTGGAAATCTTGGTAATTTTCAACGTAGGGCATCTTCTGTCCTCTGAAGGGGAATATGGGACAAATAGGCAGCCAAGGACATGGAGAGGACACGGAGTAAACCCACAATATGTATGCTACCTACTTCTTATAAATGGGGACACACGGAACAGCAAATGGACAAGGACAAATCGCCATGTCTATTTTAGGGAAAGGATGCGTGCAGATCGGCGCCGAGGGAAAACGGAGTCAGAGACATGCAGGCTCTGGCCCTGCCTACTTGCCTGCTCAGTATACCCCCTCGCTGTTCACAGGCGTCCTTGCTCAGGAGACGGAGTTTGTAAGCATAGGCAGTGCATGCTCTGAAGAGGCTTAGTGGTTACCAGAGCAGTCCCAGATAGAGCAGGTGTTCAAATGAAGAGTGGGACTTAAACACCATGAATTCATACAGTGACTTCAAAGACAGCCACACATACAACAGGGCATGCAGTTGTTAACTGCTAAAGAGCAGATAAGATCTGCCTGAAGAGCCAAGGAAAAGCCCCAGGGTGTCTCCAGGTTGAGTGCCTTTACTTTCATTTTGGTTAAAAAAAAAAACAAACATCCAGGATGGGTGGACGCAACATCGTTTGGCATCTCCATTGTTACCAGGCAGGAGCTAGTTTTATTATGTGTTCATCTACATCTAAATAATATCACTAATGTTTTCCAAAGTGGAAAGATTCAAGTGAACGCTCCACTCTAATGAATCAAACGCTATGCCCTAAGAGCTACTGGCATCTCTCAGGAATATGTGCCAATTCTATTTCTGCACTTGTTCAAAGCCTTGGAATCTTTCCTTATGTTAAAAATTCATAAATCATTTTATTGGGGGGGCTCTTACAGCTCTTATAACAATCCATACATCAATTGTATCAAGCATATTTGTACCTATGTTGCCATCATCATTTTCAAAATATGTTCTTTCTGTTTGAACCCTTGGTATCAGCTCTTTTTTCCCCCTCGTAGTCAACTTTTTGACTATAATTTATATTCTATAATTTATATTCACTCAACCTGTGGTGTAAAAAACAGAAACAAAACCCAAAACCCCACAAAGTAGTCCTAAAAGAAATTGAAGCAAGACATCACCCTGAGATGTGAAAGCTTATTTCTGGCACCCAAGTTAAATGGTGGATGGGTTTCCATGATCACGCTCATGATCAGAGCTACCTGGCAGCCGACAATACCCAGACTCATGACTTCCGGACCTGAGGGCCGGGTTTGCTTACCTTGCTCGAGTGAGATCCAGAGGCTTGGTAGCAGCTTGTCGTATCTGACAGCCATTAAAATAGAGCGAGTCACCGTGGGCATACGGTGCCAGCTGCCCACAGCCGCTTCCTATCACTCCGCCTTGAATGGTTTCCCAGTTTGCCTCTGTGACCCTCGCTGACTCAAAATTATCTTTAATATAGCTGGGAAGATCACGACTGAAAATGGAGCAATCATCACCTGGGGAGGAAGGAAGAATCACAAAGATGAGCTGAAGTCAGTGGGCTCATCCAAGAGGAGGAAGAAATCAGTGTGAATCCACTGCTGTCGCTGTCAGAATGGCAAGTGCCCAGCTGATGTAGACTTCTAGGACTGAAACGCCTCTTTCATTTGGGCAATTACTGGTTTATGTTGCTGGGGTAAAAGAGCTTCCTTCTCTTTGGGTCAATGTTTACTCACGTATGCCTGTGCTAAGGTACTGATTGCCCATGCTAATCCGCTGTTGAAGCACCACAGCACTTGGCTGGGCCTACTTCTGCGTTAGTAATGGGTCTCAGCTGGCAAAAAGGGGCCCACTCCACTTCTTTTTCCCCTGTATGATTCTGTCAGAAAACCAAGGGTTCCCTGTTCCTGTTTTCCTTCAAGCTCTACTTTGGTGATTCTTGTCAGCTGAATATGTACCCTATTCCGTTGTTGAATCCCCAGTGCCTAGCAAGGTTCCTAATACTTTTCAGATATTCTATAGTGTGGCTGGGATGAATAAGTGTATCATGGATCAACGGGAAGGGTGTCTCTTGTAGACCGCTGAGCTGAGATATTGGCATTTGATTGCAAATAAACACAAGAAGGCTTGGGGAAAATACCATTACTTTTCAGTTCCATTTTTCTACAAATTTTTGGAAGCTCCCTTATATATACTTGCATATTCCTTTGGTTTGAGCCATACATCTTTTCTAAACGTCTACAATAGTTTAAAAATCAAAAGACAAACAAGTGTTTTTTAGATCAAGGCAGGGAACACATTCCAAATCCCCACAATTTGGTGTAAGACACGTGGTCCGTTCATTTGCTTAGAGTTGACATTTTCTGGTTAATGCAGAGACAGACCTCAACAGCAGGGAAGATCAAGAGGAGGAAGAAGATGGCCAAGCAATTTCTAATATCAAATGTGTGCACCAGTGCGCACTAGTTACCTCTATTTCATTTGTAAGTGAGGCAAGAATATAAATCAATCAGCAAAAGTAGATCTTATTCTGGAATTCAGGTGTACATGGGTGGTTACCATATCTACTTGGGCAAGGTTGCATAATTCTGTTCTTTAGAGAAAGCTCTGCTTATGCACGAAAGGAACGCTGATGGGAAAGAACTAGATAAAGGCTCTTTTTTCCTCACATACTAGCTGTGTAATCTTAGGCAACACTGGGAACCTCTCTGAGTTTCAGTTTCTTCACTTACCAAATGAGAATAGCAGTGTTTACCATAGCTAACTTATCAATTCTAAATGACGCTGACGAATGGATGGATGGAACCATGTGAATCATTAGCCTGTGCACGTATTCGCCATAAACAGTCACCGAGTATTGTTGTGTGCCAGTTTTCTAGCGTGTGCGTAGTCACTCAGTTCCAAACATATTCAACCTCTAGGTGTTCAGGTAAGAAAAAAAAATTTTTAATGAGTTCCCAAAGACTTTCAGTGTGATGGAAAGCTGAAACCTTTGGGGTTGTCGGCTATGTCTTGGGAAAAGCGATACGTGCTCTGGACGAGGCCGAGGGAGAATGGACATTGACAGGGTACCTAGCAAAGGGCAGGTGGGCCGGGACAGAGCGTGGTCCAGACTTGGCAGTAAAGCGTTGGGGTGGGTGTGGGTCAGGGGCTCAGGTGAGAGATGGGGAATATGAAGTCCCGAAGAGTGCTCTGAGAAGATATCGTCCAGATTTTTGGAAAATACTTCTAAGAATATCAGAAAATGATCCTTGATAATTCATTCTAAGGATAAATAACTCCAGAATCACAGTGAGTTTTCTACCTCAACTCGTCGGGCTATCCATGTTCTATCGGACTTTGGTCTAAGACAGCGGTTCTCAACCTGCAGGTTGTGACCCCTTTGGGGGTCGAATGACCTATTTTTTTTTAATTTATCTTAAAAAAATTATTTTATTGGGGGCTCATACAGTTCTTATCACAATCTATACATCCATCCATTGTGTCAAGCACATATGTACATTTGTTGCCCTCATCATCCTCAAAACATTTGCCTTCTACTTTAGCCCTTAATATCAGTTGCTCATTTTCCTCCTCCCTGCCCACTCCCCACTCCCTAATGACCTTTTCACAGGGGTCGCCTAATACATCCTCAATACCAGATATTTACATTACAATTCATAACAGTAGCAAAATGACAGTTATGAAGTAGCAATGGAAATTCAGTGGTTGGGGGTCACCACCACATGAGGAACTGTATTAAAGGGTGGTGGCATTAGGAAGGTTGAGAGCCACTGGCCCAAGAGTGAGGATGCCGGAACTTGTCCAGTATCCCAAGTGATGGCATGGGGACAGGGACTCAGACCTTGGAAACTTTCATCGCAGATGCAGACGGCGCCGGTGGTACAGTAGCCATGTCCACTGCAGAGCTTGGGGCAAGCCTCTCCGATGTAGACGTGGTCGATGGCCCAGCTCTGCTTCTCCATCTCTTCTCCCTTCTGGATCCAGCGGAACTGTGTGGCACTGAAAACCGCCCCCACAGAGAGCAGGCAAGGTTCAGCAGGCTGCCATGTCCCAGATGGCAGCCAGCCTCTAGCCTCTGGAGACAACAGGGTTGTTTCCAAGGAAAGGGCTGCCTCAGTGTCCCCTGGATAACTCTGTGGGCAGAGGTGAGAGAACCTGTCCTTCTCAGATTAGACAAACTTCCCTGAAAGCGGGTGCCTTCCTGGAAACTTACGTGAGAAGTCTACTCTCTTCTGTTGTAAGGGTGTCAGCTTTCTTAGGAAGGGAATCATACTTGAAATCTTTGCGTGGAATGAATGCGGGCCCTGGAAGGCTGCACGCCCTTGTGTTTCCCCTGGGGCTTCGTGTAACTGCCCAGCCCAGCCCTGCACATCTCAGAGGCTCCTTGTGTCTTGGCTGAGAAGCACAGCCTTTGGGAAGGCAGGCACTGGTCAGGTGGAACTTTGAGAAAGTGGAACTGGGGGGAATTCCAGGTCTTTGTCTGGCACCTGAGATTCCAGGCTTGTGACTCAGTTTGACCAATGCCATGGTATTTAGTCGAAAGAGAATCTGGGATCTCTGAAGCATTTACAAACCAGCTCCTAGTTCTTCCTCTTTCTTCTTGGAGCACGCAATTGCCGTTTGAGGGCGTGGAAAGGAAGTGAAGGGGGACAAGGACCTAGGGCTGCGACTGCAATTTGGGCCTCTTCCCGCGGGTGTCAGTTTACTGGGTGTGCTCCGCAGAGACTGCCAGAGTTCCCAAGATTTGCCTTAACCTGAAACCTACCTGGAGGAGACATGGTCGGGCAGCTGGAGGGTGATTCTCCTCCAGCTGGAGCTGTTGATGGAGTTGTAGATGGTGGCTTCGTGGAACTGGAAGGGGGAGCAGCCGATGCTGTTGGAGGAAGAAGGCAGGCACTGGGTTTGAACGAGCTGCCAGGAATCGGACCTGCAGGAGCCAAAGACACCACCTTAGACGGATCTTACGAGAAGTGTATGGCCTAGCAGTTAACATTAAAATATCAATACTGACCGATTTAGAATGATATACAATCAAAAGAAAAATATGAAAATAATTTCAAACAAGATATATTCCAATACAGACAACAGTGAAAAGGACAGCATGCCCAGCTGTGTATTCTAGTAGCGTCTTCTGTGGATGCCCCCCCCCCCCCCTCAGAAATATACCTGGAGTGGAGTGACAAACTTCTCTGTCTACCCACATGGGGTCCTATCATTTATTTCTCAAAGTGGCGGCAGGAGGCCAGGCTGTCCACACACTGAGAGAGTATCTCTATTTGGCCAAGCGTCTTCCACGCTGTGAAGCTGCTGTCGGGTGTGGCTATGGCTGAAGCCTGTTCAGATCTTCCAAGGAATTCATGTTTTGTTAGGAATGTTTGTAAATAAGCAGCATGAAAAACAAAAAAAACCCTTCTATTTGGAGGACAGATATAGGGTCTGATTTAAAAGTGCCAAATGTGTTGGCTACAGCCTCATTCAAAAAAAAGAAAAAAGGGCTTTTTCTTGGTTTGAAGAAAAATTTAGGAACTAAATGCAAATTTTAAATCTGTATCAATGAAATGTCTACAAACTGTCAGCCGGCTGCCTTACACACTGGCAAGCATTTGCATCGTGTGTTCAAGGTCTGATGAAGTGCACCCCCTCCTGTCACTCACCTGGCATCCTTAGTGTACTCCAGCATCACAGAATGAAGGTCACCACAGGAGGTGGCTTCACAGCCAACCACAATCTGAAACAACATGAACAGTCAGCACGAGGCAGGCACAGCCACACGATACCGAGTGTCAAGAACTAGAGTCCACCGCTCTCCAGTCTGCCCACAGGGGGTCAAAGGATGTCCCACCAGCACCCGGACAGGACACTACGACTGCGTGTTTTAGAGCTGCTCAGGAGAAGCAGTTTTTCCTGGGGGAACGAACTGAGAGTTTTTAAAGTATTCTTTTTTATTTACTTCATTATTTAAAAGATTAACAGTATATGTGGGGAACACAAATGGGCCCAAAAGAATGTAACACGTGGCGAAGTGATGTCGGCTGTCCTTGGAGGGTCAGAAAACCTATGGTGACTTCACTGATGAAATTAGGTATTAATTATCCATGCATTTATAATAAATTTATTATTATTAAATCATAGTTAGTCCAGAACAAACCTAAAGCCAAACTAACTGCTAACCAAACAACTAAATTAACCGTCAAGTCGAGTAATAGTAAAATAGCTATGATAATGAAAAATTAATTAGTCAGAAACACATACAATATTAAGTGTTTCTACATATTTAAAAATGTGACTTAGAGGAGAACATTTCAATTTCTTCAGTTCTGAGTTAACAAGAGCAGAATAAGAAAAGCCCCCTAATTTAATCAAATATGGTATCTGTGCTATGGACCTGATGGAGGGGAGCCCTCACTCTTGGGGGGCATGGCTTGGACTTAGGGTGGTGTGTCACCAGATAAGACCTTGAAGTCCTTATGCCAGTAGATTAAGAACAGTCCTGATGGAGTAGGTGTAGCTGATCTCTGAAGAGTTTCACAGAGAAATGCTATGTACGTTTTTATTTTTTTAAGAAAGATTCTTACTATTAACTGTCATGACAAAAGATCTACAACAAGGCCATAAGAAACGCTAGTCCTTGTCTTTGCAATAACAAGCTGTGTTTCTATAGCGCCTTTTCAGGAGTGTTTCACAGTGAGAAAGATACTGACAACATTGCTTTATCTCCCCTCCTCCCCCCAGTGAGTGTCTATAAATCACCTTTTACGCCTGGTTAGGGATGGTTAGTTTAAAACACTTGCGAGTCCTTGTTGAATGTTTCATAATTTGGGGAATTCAAGCTGGGTTAATGTATGTATAGGTTCACGTTTAGAAGCCAGAGATGAAAGAACAATGACAAGAAAAGGTTTATCTTAAGAAGCACAGTGGCTCGATGCATGAAAACAGGGAGAGAGAGAGAAAGAGAGAGAGAGAGAGAGAGAGAGAGAGAGAGAGAGAGAGAAAGAGGTGTCTGAGTGAGTGAGAGCAAAGGAACACGAGTGACAGAGCTAAACGTAGGTCGAGGTGCTTACTTGAGTGTTTTCTTTGAGCTCAAGGTTTGGGAATTGAACTCCAGATTTGAGAAATGAACTCAAGGTATTAACACACATACGAGGTATTAACAATCGTCTTTAAAAGTTACAGCACTGTTTTTTGTTTTTAACTATCTCCTATAGCAAGATTCATCAGATGCACTTTGGACAAGCTATCAGGAGAGACTAGTCCCTTGGAAAGATGATCGTGCTTGGTAGAATAGAAGGTCAGTAAAAAAGAAGAGATGGACTGATAGCAGCGGCTGTGCCCATGGGCTCAAACAACACAACAATTGTGAGGTTGGCATAGGACTCTGTAGTGTGGTAGCTACATAATCTGATGTCAATTTGAGGATTAAGAGTGTAGGGGTGGAGTGTAGTCTGCCAATCAGGATATAGTCAATGAGGCCTCTGTGTGAGCATGGCCTTTTCCTAAGGATGCTGGGATTTCCTCTTTGGAGGTGAGAGACACACTCTCTCTGATCATTTCCAGACAGACATCCTTGAGAAGCCACATGGACCTACCCTGATGCAGCCAGGGCCATAGACCTGGAGAAGCCACGTGGAGACCCCTGCCAGCGCTGAGATGCTTACAACACCACTGGATCCACAACTGTTCCCACCCACTGGCCTGTGGTTTTCCTGCATTTGGTGTCATTGCATGTGTTGCATGAGTCTGAAGAGGAATTTATAGATGGGTATCGGACATATGTGCTAATATTGGACTTATGGACTTGATCTGAACTGGGCTGCGATGTTTTCTCAATATTCAACTACTCTAGTATATAAAGCTCTTTCTTAAGCACATATGAGTGTCGATGGATTTGTTTCTCTAGTCTACCCAGACTAACACAGGCAGTATTTCATTCTTTGTAAACAAGGTTACTATGCATTGTAATCAAGTCTATGGCACTTAAACATCATCAACAACAAACATACTCAAAGATTTTTATCATTGTTCAAATATTCATGCTTGAGTTAAGGCCTTTGAGAGAGATTATTTCTTTTGTTTATAAGATCAGGATCTTATCAGGTGAAACAAACCATATCTGTAAGTTGTTTAAATAAGCAAGATCCTCCCCCATTGCCCTAATCTAATACCATATTCGGCGCTGAGCCACTTCCCCTTACTTTGAATTGCATCATGTATCCTGGCTGTATAATGAGTTCTCGGGAGGAGAGAGCATTGTGAGTCTTGTCCTTCTTTTTATTTGGCCAGTAGAGGTGGAAGGATGGATTGCCACAGAATCCGGCCGTCCGGACGGCATTTGGGTAAAAACTCCAATTTTCTTCATGGGAAGTGCCTTCTGTGAAGGTAAATTGGAAGCAATATTGCACGTTATTTTCCAGAACTGACTTGTTTATTGCTGAATGACTTAAAGGCTTTTGCTTACCCTTTAAGATTTGAGATTGTATAATATGTAAATCTAAGATGAGAAAACAAATTTAGACAAAAATCTTAAGTGTCGGTATAAGAATCATCCGAATTTTGAAATGTACTGGGTAGCATAAGTAGCTTGCACCATTGACAGAAGCCTCCTTGGTTTACTTTTTTAAACCAGTGCCATATGCATTTCTGTGGCTTAGAAATTTCAAAAAAATATATTTTTGGGGTATTAACATTTCAAAAAATCTTGAAAGGTGGACATTTTGTCTTTAGCAGGTTTATTACATTTTTCAGTTGACATTTCAACACGTGCCCAACCTTGAAGATTTTGAAACCACTGGAGAAAATAGTGAACAGTTGTTGAGCAGTGAATAAGTGATTGACTTTCTTCTAAATGCTTTTCCCACAGGAGAAATTCATCTGTAGACAAGCAGAATAAAGGCTCCCAGGAAGAAAACCCAACAAAATAAAGGTCAATGTCATCTCTTATTACCATCATCGAATGTGTCCACCAGCTGACTTGGATTGATCTCTGCTCCTCCGATTAAAATGTTGTCTAGCGCCCACTGAGCACGCTCAACCCCGGAGACCACAACGCCATTGCTAATCACAAAAGGCTGCCACCAGCGAAGCCTCGTAGTGTTGGTTAGAGCGTCCTCCGGGAGGAGAATGTAGTCGTGTCTAACAGAAATGTATTTCTGGTAATCCATCTCATGAAGCAGAGTCCATGTAATTCCTGGAATAACAAATTTACCAATATAGTACCATCCAGGAAAACAAACAAACAAACAAACAAACCAAACAACCAGCACACCAGGAAAACCGGAGACTGCCAGAGACCTCTTCAAGCAGGACTGGGAAGCCAAGATAGGTGACTGTAATTATTGGCGCTAGCCACTTTTAAATATTGTCTCAAAACGAGGCTGAGGATACCAGAGCAGGGGTGTTTAGAAAGAGCCTCACTCATAACTGAACGATCATGGAATTGGATCTATGTAGATATAGCCAAAAATAAAGTCACTAAAATGAAGAATATTTTTGGCTTAACATTTTTATTCTAGATTCCTATATGCATTTGTTTCAATTGAATAATGAATTATATCCACATTTAACATGTTTTCAGAGAAGAATTTCTAACCAGTGTTTAAAATATTAATTCCAAATTCGACTACAATTTAGAGCTAGTTGGACAGAGCTGAAGTTGATCTTATTCAATTGATAAAACTGTGGGTGCGATGTTAAAACTACTTAAAAATACTCTTCAAATATCCTAATATACTTTAGGGTGATTTTTCTATGGTAGTTCTAAAGAATACTATTTATCTGTTAAAAAAGATTTTCTCAAGACCTATTCGTGCTATTGGTCTAGTTACAATTACTTCAAGTAATCAAGCAATTTTATTACTGTAGTCTCAGAATTATCACAATCTTCTTTCATATTTGACAGGATTTTCTTATAGATTCTCCATAGCATTGAAGATATTATTTTTGATCAAGGCTTAAAAAATGCTCTACAATTATCTTTCACATAGAAAATTACATGAAATTTAATTTTTAAAACTTTATCATAATACTCAAGTACCAGTTAAGCCATTGAGATTATTTTACTCAATCATAAAGGTTGGAGTTTCTTTCATTATTTTTTCTTTACCTTTCTTCTAAATTTTACTATTTGCTTAAATTTTAAGCTTTATCAACATACAATTCATATACCACATACGTTCAATGACATAAATACATTAAAAAGAATTGTGCCATCATCACAACAATTAATTTTATGGAGGTTATTTTTGAATGCATTTTCTCATCTTTGCAGACTGTGCATGCTTAGAAGAAACATATATGATCATGTAATGGCACCAAGTTCTGTAGCTTTCTTTTTGTAACACTATGGTTTTAATGCGTCCTCCACATTGTAAATTCAGCAAAGCTTGAGAGACGTTTTACTGAGGGGTAAAGGAGGGCATTTGGGGATCCGCTCCATGATGTGAGTCTCCCTCCCTAGAACTTGCCTCCATCAGTGGAATAGTCCAAGAGCACACCTTCCTTCCGGCAGATTGGTCGATGGCAAGAGGTCATGTTGTTCTCACTACCGATGCGTCCCCAGTATTGCAGGAATCTGAATACAAACACATACTGTCCATTAGAATGAGTAATTAGAAGACCTCCAGCTAAAACAAGCTGGTTTAAACTTGGTCTACACATATGTCCCTGACTTTGAGGTTAGTTAGTTGTTAACATTGTCATAAAAAAACAAAACACGCAGAAACGGACTTACTTTGCCCCTCTGAGATCCAAATCTTGAGTGACAGCTTGTCTCACAGTGGAGCCCCCAAAATAGAGTGCGGTGTCCTCAGCAAGAATGCCACACTCAGTACACGCGTTCCCTCCCTCTAAGGACATCCACAGGTCAGGCTTGATCTCCTCACTGTCAAAGCGTTCCTTCAGGAACGTCTGGACAAAATCAACAGGCACGGCAAAAATAACAATTTCAGCTAATAATTACAGTCAGGACAGAGTTACATCTTGAACTTAAAAAATCATTGGAGTTGCTTTCAAGTGATTTTCCACAGACTGAAACACAGGACATTCTCACTTTGTCCATTCAGGATGCTGCCTTGGGTGGGAGAATGCTTCTTTTAAAGGAGACTGTATCATGAGAACACTTTTTCACAGTCGTGCTTTCAGCAAGTGTGCTTGGACTTGTGTACATACACTATACTGTTTCACTTTTAAAAGGATATTTGTTTAGTTGCTACCTTTCCATGGAAGTTAAAGTCATTTAGAAAAAACCTTTTCCCTAAACATCAACCAAAATGAGCTCTATAGTTAGGCGGATGAAGTCACAAGTCAGTTTTACTTTTAATTCACTGTTAGTTAGCAACTACTCACAATTTTAAAAAGACTTCCAAGTGAAAATATGAATCAAAAGAAATGCATACTTAACCACGTGCATTCCCATAAGAAATATTTGAATAACAGTTTATCTTAAAGATCTGTTCACCTCACTTCCAAATGAGAAATACTAACAATTTAATGTTAACCAAACTGTAATTTTATTTTTAGTTTATTCATTATCTGAAACTGTGCATTTCATGCAATGATTTCATTTGGTAACAAATGGGCTAACATCTTCAGACACTAGTCAGCATTGCTCCCATATTGATATTTATCAAAACCAAAATTGTTGAAGGATTATAGAAATAAAAATACAAAATAGACTTTATTTGAATTACATAACTCTCATAAATTGGATTTCAATCATTTTGCTTTTGGCTTTGTCATTTATCTTTTATCATAAGGATAAATGCATTATATTAATTCTCAGGAACAGAGTGTACATGTGGAAAGCGTGTTGAACAACTGTATGTGCCCTGTATATTAAATAATAATCTAAAAATTGAAGCTTTCAAGAATGAGCTCTTTGGTCTTAAAATGCAACCATATTTCATCAACAGGTTGGTAAAGTTGGTCTATTGTGTGTGATAAAGTACCTGTAACGACCACAGCAGTACCTCCCTTCCAACAATGCTTCCATTGAAAAATGAAGTAAAAAAGGCTTAATATTGACTGTTAATCTGTTTATAATTTTAAAATATGATTTATTAATATATAATTATGTACAATAAATGATACATATTTAAGGTATGCAAGGGGTATAGCATTTGACATTTATGTGTACTATAAAACCATTATTATCAAGATGGTGAAAATATCACTTTCAAAGGATTCCTTCTGGCCCTTTAAAATATAGTGTTAGCCTACATTGGCCCAATATCCTTCTCTTAACATTGCTTTAAAAAATTCGTACCTGGAGCTACTCAATGACAATATTAATGGAAGATTGTTATATCTAAATATATTTACATATATATGTGCCTGTATTTATACCCCTTATAAATGTCCTTTGCCTCCTAGTTCTTTCCTCTATTTCCTTTTACTTTCCTTTAGTCCCAAGATCATGTCTGACCTTCATTCGGCTTCCATTAATTCCTTTTGGCTACATTGCACTTGATCAAGCCCCACCAGGCATCCTATGCCCTCCTCACCATCGATTTTAGATCACTTGCTGTTCCTCTGTCCCTGGGTTTGTTGGCTCCCCCATTTCTTTCCCTTGCCTCCCCCTCTTCTGTGTCCCCCCGCCCCCCAGAACCGTTGGTCCATTGTTTCTCCTCAGGACTGTACATCACACCTATCTTATCTAGATAGACATGCAAAAACAATAACAAACACAAAAACAAAACAAAACAACAACAAAAAAAGAAAAGTCTATAAATTGTTCCAGATCTGTCTGTTGACCTTTGTGAGTGTTTTCCAATTAAGGCTGATGAGGTGACACGCCCTGCCCCTGAAGTCTATTTTTGGGATTCCTCAGGGCCTTCATTGCTTTGTTCCCCTTGCTGCTCTGTTGCATGCCCTCCGTGTTTCACCTTGGTGTGGTGGGGTTATATTTATATAGAATGATAGGGAAATAGATCTATGTGCCTATATTTATAGGTTAAGTATTAAGGTAGCAGACGGACATTGGGCCTCTACTCAAGAACTCCCTCAAGAGTACTCAAGAACACTTTGTTCTAATAACCTGGCATCCTATGATGCTCACCTTCCTGACACAATCACTGAAGACAAAATGGGTGCATAAACAAATGTGGTGAAGAAAGCTGATGGTGCCAAGCTATCAAAAGACATAGTGTCTGGGGTCTTAAAGGCTTGAAGATAAACAAGTGGCCATCCAGCTGAGAAACAACCAAGTCCACATGCTTCTTAGCACCCCAGCCTGTGTGATCATGAGGTATTGATGGGATCAGGTATCAGGCATCAAAGACCCTGAACAAACAATCCTATCAATGTGAATGAGGGGGAGGGCAGAGTGAGGACCCATAGCCTATCTGTAGACAATTGGACATCCCGCACAGAAGGGTCACAACGAAGGAACGAGGCAGCCAGGGTGCAGCATAGCATCAATGAAACACAACATTCCTCTAGTTCTTTAGTGCCCCCCCCCCCACCTATCATGACCCCAATTCTACCTTACAAATCTGGCTAGACCAGAGGATGTACATTGGTACAGATAGCAACTGGAAACACAGGCAGTCCAGGAAAGACGACTCCTTCAGGACCAGTGGTGAAAGGGGCGAGGCTTGGAGGGTGAAGGGAATGTGGGGTGGAAAGGGGGAACCGATTACAAGAATCTAAGTATTGCCTCTTCCCTGGGGGAGGGCAGCAGAGAAGAGGGCAGGGGGAGACATTGGACAGTTTAACTTATGACAAAACTATAATAAGTTGTGAATTATGAAGGGTTCTTGAGGGAGGGGGAGAGGTGGGAGGGGAAAAATGAGCAACTGATATTAACGGCTGAGGTGGAGGGCAAATGTTTTGAGAATGATGAGGGCAGTGAATGTACATATGTGCTTGACACAATGGATGGATATATGGAGTGTGATGAGAATTGTAGAAGCCCCCAATAAAATAATAAAAAAAGTGAAAAAAATTTTAAGTTTAATGTGCTATTTGTTCACCTAAAACAAAATGAAAAACTGTTTAATCAATAGTGTTTAGAATTATCTAAACATTTGCCATTATTCTGTTGAGCAGTGAAATCACAATTTGGTTGAAGTAATGATGTTGTGACTGCAAATGCTAGTCTGATTAATAATTTTTCACTGTCTTTTCATTTGCGCATGCTGCTACCTGAAGACTGAAGGATGAAACCTGATCTTGAATCAAAGAATATTTTTAAAAATGATACTTATCCTTATGAGTTAAACAAAGGTTTATAAGAGCAGATCAGAGTTGTGCATTCAATAATTCATGCTCAATCTGCTTCACCTCTTCCACTACAATCCCATTAATGTACCATCACTTATCCCATTTCCTCCTTGTATTTCCTGTTTCCACGTATCACCAACTTCTTTCCTAATCCGGTGAACTTTGTCCTTGGGTAAATGCTGCCCTTTTGTTCTTAACTGATTGATTATTCTAACATGGAGGTGAATATTCAATTCCAGACCTGAAGAGGATAAGCCATAGTCGGAGGGGTCCCACTAGTCTCTAGCTGACCAGTAAACCCAGTCTCT